AAAATTGATGTACCAAATAAATATAGGTAATCAGGGCTAAACCTTTATCAAATATGTTGTTTTAATGTCTAAAACTAATGCCTAATGAACTTACCTTAAGTAGGAAACCTAATTTTTCATATTTCTAGCACGAAAATGTTTCTTAAAACGTCCATTCAACACTCACAAATAGCCACCATCTTTTCATTTATGCAAGTAATTTTTGATTGGTTGACATCGAAACTCATAGAAAACTGGATTTAAAAAGAAATATTCCGAAATTGTAATAGTCGGGGAGCCCACTGCAAATTTCGACCGTCATCTGATAACGAAATGAAAAAATATGTTCCAAAGGAGTTTAAGAACAAATTGGTTAAAACATTGTTTTATGTTCAAAAAATCACATGAGACATGACACCGATAATTTTGTTTGCCATGAAAAGTACAATCGTAATTAATTGTGAACCTACCTTTTAAATCTGAATTATTATTATTATTTTTACCTCATGTTGTTTTAATATTGAAAAGTCGACGCAAGGACAGGATTGTAGATCAACTACTTTAATTACTATAATATACAGGGTGTCCCAAATAAGAGTGATCGATTTTAAAATGCACAGCTTATGAATTGCTCTAAAGAGATGGGGTTTTCACTAATTGCTTTCGTTTATCCAAAAGTTTTTTTTCAAGTTGGTTCACATTTTATCACATCAATACAGGGTGATCCACTAATGTTGGTTAACTTTAATGGAAAAAATATGTATTATTTTAAATGGAACACCCTGTATATTTTGATGGCATTCAAAAGAGAGATTCATCTACTTTTTAAAAATGTATAGTTTGATATCTTTTGTTTTCTTAACAACACAGATTTTCGAGTTTTTAAGTAACACTGCTGTTTTCTTTATTTAAAAACTGACATTAAATAAAATTAACAAAACATAACCATTTATTTTCACCAAGACTGACTAGATCCACTGTCTTCAGTTTGAGATATGACGTAAAAGTGTAATGCAAAGGTGCGGATACTTTAGATCGTCATAGCATCGCTCCTCTTTATTCTATCTCCAATGTCTTAAGAAATCATCATAGTAGTTTCTTGTCGTTTCTATGACAACCTGTAAAAACGAATCACAACAATATGGGGTTTGTTTTGGTTCAAACCTAACTGTCAATTCCAGTTCTTAAATACAGTTGATGAATTAATATTTCAAGTACACGTCGCGAGGTTATAACAACCTCTTAGCTGATCGAGTGTTATTCTGTGATTCTGAACTAGTTTCCGAAAGAACCAAAACAAGCATATATGTAGGATGATTGAACCGGTTAGCCGGACAGGTCCGGTTTTCGTACAATCTTGAATAAAAACCTTTAAAATAAGAAATACTTTACTTTTGCGATCATATGATTAATTTATGATTTGTTTATACTCTTCCCCTCACAAATTTTTAACACCATATTATCTTAGGAGAAGACGTTAAATAATTTGAAAATGGCAACTACACAGAGTGCATGTGTTACCTAAGCCTTGGCTTAGGTATCACAAAAATTACTGACTAGCTTCTAAAAAATAATAAATACATGTTCTAATATTAATTTCCTATTTGTATTTTTGTTTTATGTGGCCAAGAAACTTACATTTTGAGCATAAATATAGTACTAAATCAAACTTTTAACCGTTGAAATTAAGTGTCCGGGTAACTAATTCCATAAAATTCATAAAGCCCATTTTCGGACACTATGTCCGTGAATTGGTATGACAGAGTAAAAGTTTGTTGATTTTCTTCTAGTATATAAATATGGTATAGATAGATCACTGGAAAATGTAAAAAAAGCAAATTGCTGCTGTTTTTGAAGGGACCTAGTCATCCCTTGGAATGGAGTTTAATCATTTTTTCTTTAAATTCTTATGTTTAGTAAATTTAAAAACTGACACACCTTTAATACCAGTCTTAAAGTAGGTACTTCTATAGTTGGATAAAATACAATTGTCACCCAAAAATCCTTAATTTCAAGTTGTAGTTGCCAACCTACTAATTGTATTTTTTATCAAAATTATTGATGGATACCTATTATTCAAACTTAATATCTTTTATTTATAAACTAAAACCTTAAAGCTAGAACTGAAAACTTTAAGGACACAACTTTAAACACACTACCTATTCAGTTTTCAGCCATTTTGAATGCATAAAATTCGAGATAAAACCCGTAGGGCCAGTTTTTCAATAAATGTTTAAGTTCAGAAAATGAACTGGGTTAAATTGAAAGATGGTGTATTTTAAATGTAGTTCACGTTAATTCAAACTATCCAAAAAATTTAAGCGTCAAAGTTGTACGTTTAAACTAAGATCAATGTTTTACATTGACATATTATATATTTCACAATGTTTGTATATTTTATAAGCATTTAATAATAACATATATTTTGTATACTAGAAATAAATAATGCTTCAACTCCTAAAGTCATGGTTTTGTTAACTAGGTATACGATTTCTTGCATCGGGATCTTTCTTAATTACCTCCGGCATTTCTGTAGAGAACATAAAGTACAGCAAACAAAATTTACCAGCGATTCTTCTTCGTTGCTCTAAAAATTGACGGTCCGTCATTTTTTTTATTTCGTTCAATTTTTCATCTTCACAATGAATTAGGTTTAGCAAAAATGTGTTTTAAAACCAATTTTCAGCCCTTGACTATAGTAAAAAAATAATACCTACATTTTTACTTCAAGGCATAACCTTAGGCACAGGCCTGTCACTCCCTATATTTCCCATGTTAAATTCTGGCTCAAATCTCAATGACCTCGGTACTTCTTCCCTATAAGTCTGGGGTATTTTTGACAAGTCTAGGGTCACTAATCAGCACTTGGTTGCTGACACACGAGAAAAATGACATCTAAAAGTAAAAAAATATACAGGTTTTAAGCCACTTGAAGACAAAATTAGTGAGGTTATTACAAAATTTATGTTTTTTTGGTTTTTAAAATAATGTTGACCTCGATGCCTCCTTCCTATTATTGGTCTAGAGTATTTTTGACAAGTCTGGCGTCACCAATCAGAACGTTGGTTATTGTCACATAAAAAAATGACATCTAGAAAATTGATCAGTATTTTTGCAGTTTTTCACAGCACAGATCTTCATGATGTAATTTATATTAACAAACACAGATCTAAAACAAAATTCGATTGTAAATAATAAATTTTTAAACCAAAAAGAGAAATGATCAGAAAGCTAGGTTATATTAGATTAGATACATATATTTCGCCGTGACTAGCAGTACATTGGATGTACACGAATTATTTGTACATCGGATGTATCCCCCATTATTTGTACATCATAATTCTAACCTAACTTTATTTCAGATGATGGAGTGAAAGACTTAAGTATTTTATAAACCTTAGAAGCAAATTTCACATACATGAACAAATAATAATAATGCCGTGACAATAAGAAGACGAAAATTTAAATCCATACCTGGCTACGCCGACCGGCATAAGCACCAACGGTCTGGACACTAGTGATGTAAGAATACGTATTCAAAAATCCGTTGAATCCGAATATTAAAAGGATCCGGATATTCCGGAATCAATGTGTAAATTCGAATACCGATTCGGTATCAAAAAGGACAGAAACAAACTCGAATCGATGCTTCATGTTCTGTGTTCATGACAGAGCCGATTGCAGGTGGCAGCCGATACGAATTCGAAATCGTCTAGCGTTGTTGCAATTCACAGTCAGTTAGTCGGCATGAACTAAGCATATTTTAAAGGTAACATGAAGTTGTATAAAAATATAAATAATATTCAGTTAATGAGAAATGTTGTTTCTGATATTATGATAAAAAAACAAAATATTAGAGATTTATCTTGTGTTTATTATTCTAAAACATTAAAAACTTCTCAAACATAAATTCTGCTAGGGTTGACAACACTGCCCGGTTCCGATTCCCAAGGTCGCGGTGTATTTACGGTTGCGTATTATTATGATTTCACACACATGGAATATGGATACGTATCCGGATGATGAATCCGAATATCTCTTGGTTCCGAATACGTATTATCCGAATACTAAAAAGATACGGATATTCACAACACTACTGGACACAGCTCACCTACTCTGTCAAAAGGCGACCGATGTACAAATAAAACGCATACATCCGATGTACTGTTAGTCACTGTCTACATATTTACCTGCGTAAAATATTTTAAATTTTCAAGATCACAGACTTTTAGATCAATTGACATTTGTGTTAACTATACTCTTTGCCTTAGGTTTATTTTTAAAAACTTGGATGATCAATCTATATAACTTTTTTGCTTTGTAGTTCTTGGGTTTTTAGGGGCTAGTGAGAAATGAAACTCGTGTATGTGTGGATAAAGCTATCGGCACTGATCAGTGTCTTTTTCAGTATTTTTTTTTTAATTTTATTGGTCAATTATTTTTTTTGGCATTAGAGTCTTGTTTTTCTAAACATCAAAAACAATTCTTTAGTACAAAGTTTAGGGTGTGTCGTTACAATTATTAAAATAAGTTTAAAATTCTTTTTGTATACGTTTATTTCCACTATCCTTGTTATGTCCGTTGATATGGTGCTTTAATGTCCGTTCAAGTGTATACACTTTTTTAAACTTATTTTAATAATTGTAACGACACACCCCCAAACTTTGTACTAAAGAACTGTTTTTGATGTTTAAAAAACAAGGCTCTAATGCCAAAAAAATAATTATAATTGACCAATAATAAAATTTTCTATCTTTAGATTTTTCGATTTCCTTTTATTGAATAAATGAGTTAATATTGTTTAACGCCGCACCGCTGTGCCGGTCGGAGTGGGGGGTGTCAGGTTATTTTTTATTACGGAATTTCTTGATTCGGTCGCCGCGCTCAAAGCCCGCGATAAAAGCTATGCAATAGCTTAAAAACGGTTTAATTTACTATACAAGTATTTTACTCGCACTCGGGTGTAGGTCTTCGTTGCTAGGAAGATAAAGACGGCATTTTTTAAATAAAACAAATATTTAATTTTATAATAATTTATTACACAATTTTTAATGGACTTGTATCTTAAAATTACTATTGAATTAACAGTCTTTGCATTATTTTTATTCCTAGTGTATATAATAACAAGAGAAGATCACGATTTTCTTTTTGTTTTTTCATTATTTTTCTTAATACCTAAATTAACCCTATCTCGCATTACATACACCAAAATAACCAATAAAGGGATTACAGAACAAGACAAAAGACGAGCAGTATATAAACATAAAGTATAGACTTATAATAAAATTATCACATTACTCATTCACATCGTTGAGTTTTGTATATATCCAAAAATAATTTATGAGCCCACCTATATGTCATTCGGTCTCTTTTTAAATCCAAGATGGCTATGAAAGTTAAACATAACCTTGAAAAAATATTAATTAGTACTAAACACAGTGGCATGTGTCAAATTTTCATAATCACCTGAATCCTGAATCCTGAATTTAAAAAGAAATAAAATGACACATACCTACATAGTAAATATAAAAAAGTAAATGGAATTGACAAGTCTACACCTGTCAAAGATGATATAAAAAGTACAAATACCAGAATTCTTGCATATGCTAATAAATTTAAAATAAAAGTCAACCGTGTTTTTTAAATTGTCTTCGAATCGTTTCGTTAATCCCATTATAAATGTTCGTGGAACTATCACACGTGCTTTTTGGCATGTGACATCATTGTCGATCTGGAAACGAAGGCCTTACCGCAGGTCTCGCAGGAATACGGCCGTTCTCCCGTATGCAGACGTTTATGAATCGCCATAGGCGTGAATTGGGTGAACGTTTGACCGCAGAGATCACAACTGAAAAAAAAAAACGTCATAAATACAAGAGGACGAGTGAATATTAGCAGGGCAAGTAGAGCGTTTATATTGTTTGTTAAAGTTATTTAGATTTCAAGAAAGTGAGTTATTTTGTCGGGTATTGTCATTTAATTATTTTGTACTGATTTCGAATGGAAAATAAGGACCAATACAACATTATTACTAGATTGTAAGTTTAACCAAATTCTATTTTTATAAGTTAATCTGCCCTTTTTTTTAATATAGACTTTCAATAATAATGTATATTATTAATTATAAAACCAAAAAAGGTTTATTTTTATTTGTTTTCTTTTTGCAACTGGTGACATAATTAAATTTTAGAAAGCAATTTCATCATGTTTGACATTATGCAATTGGTCGCGTAAAATAAATCATTCTGACACTCGCTGCAATCTCGAAAAATGTCACTTTATATGTCAAAATTAGAAAAACACGTTTACATTTTTAATACTATAAATTGCAGTCAAAATTATACGACGATCTCATTCAACTAACCTTTTAACAGGTGGTGGTACCTATTGTTACCTTAACATGTAAACCTTCATTATAATTACCAGTGGTGTATCAAAAACATTTATGAGAAACAAATGAAGAATTATGAATAGAAAATGGAGTGTTTCTTATGTAAAGAGATCAAACAGCCAACTAAAGATGTAAGTAACCCATGTCACCAGCGTGACTCTTGCAGAAATTTAATATGTTTGGAATGCACAGAACTATCCTCTTCTAAAATCAGGTGTCTGCCATTACAGAAACGTTTACTGCAATTTAACTGCAAAACATGCCGTACTTATGACTTTGTAAAACTATTGAATAGTAAAATTGAGGATAAAGAAATTATAATCAAGGATAAAGAAGAAATTATGAACAATAAAAATGAAATAATAAAAATGCTGCAAGAAAAGATTAAAGAATTATAGGAAAAAGAGCAAAGTGGACCTAATCTATCCCATGCAAATATTGCTTCATTAAAAATTATTGCAAGGCCCAATGATGTACCGCATAATGTTCCAAATGTAATATTCAAACCTAAAAAAATCAGGATCCAACTCAAACTAGAGAAGACATGACTCTAACATTAACCCAGATAATTTAAAAATAAGAATTAAAAATATGAAAAGTACAAATTCTGGAGCTGTGACAATCAAGTGTAAAAATAAAAATGAATCTGCAAATCTTGAAAATATAGCTAAAAGTAGAATTAGCAAACTCTTATACTATTGAGACGTCTAAAATGAGAAAACAACGTGTTAAAATAACAAACTTTAAACAAAAGTTAAATAAAGAAGAAATTGAGAACTCCATTTTGGACCAAAATAAAACATTGAAAGACTTTAAGGTAACATTTATTAAAAAAAGGAATAAAAATAGAGAAAATACAATATTTGGAGAATGTTCAGCATCAACTTTTCACCAATTAATGCAATTAAAAAAGGTATATTTATTGGTTGGGAGCGTTGCCCTGTTTCCATTGTCAAGAGTTTTATCATAAAAAAACACAATTACAGTAACAAATTAGCATGTCTCTACTGCAGTGAAGAGCATGAACAAAAAGACTGTCCTCAACAAAAAAAAGTTTTTGTTAACTGTATACTTTCAAATACTAAATTCAAAATGAAGAATAATATTAACCACCATTCAACAGACCTTGAGTCTCCCACACTGCAATATCACATAAAGTTGCTAAAATCCAAAGTCGATTATTCAACTTAATGATACTAATCGATCAAAATATTATCATGGACAATTTAAGTGAATTAGAACAAGATCATCGTGGAACCTATATAGATCCAGGCGAATATGTATCCTTAAAATCAAATTAAAAGTTTAATATTATGCACTTTAACATACGAAGTACAAACAAGAATTTCGATGAATTAATGGCTTTAATCGAAACATACTAATTATCTACTTGTGACATTTTTGTTTTAAGTGAATGTTTTCAAACCGCAGCTGTCAATAATCTTAATATTCCTGGTTACACCACCATAAACAATGGAGGAACTTTAATAAAAATGACGGTATTTTAACATTAATTAAATCTTATCTTAAATTGAATATAACTAATCATAAACTTAATTTATGTGGAGTTTCTCTTTCTATAATAAATTTGTCAATTTATAATGTAACTTATAGAATAATAGCATTGTATAGACCTAATCCTAGTAACTTGACTTCTTTCATTGATGAACTTGATATATATTTAGACCAAACTCAACAAAATGCTAAAATTGAATTATTAATTGGGGACATCAACATTAATTTAATGAACGAAAATGATTTTTATGTAAACAAATATTACTGTGTGCTTGCTAAATATGGTTTTTTCCCTTATATTTTGAATCCTACTCGTGTTACACAAGATTGTGAATCATTCCTAGATCATATTTTTGTAAAAGAGTCATTTCATAACCAACAAAACATAACGTTTAACTCATTTATCCTTAAATGTTACATCACAGACCACTATTCTGTTTTATTACAGGTAAATTCCAAAATGAAAACAACAAATACCCTAAATATTAATGAAAAAATAATTACCAAAATTGACAAACACAAACTACAAACCGCCATAAAAAGTACAAACTGGAGTGATATTTTAAATTTAGATAATCCCCAAATTGCTGCAGACTGTTTCTTGAGTAAGTTTAGTAAACACATTGAGGATTCAAAAACTTATATAAAAAAACCGGAAGAAATATTTTAAAATAAAACCATTGATAACAGAAGGTTTGATTATATCTATAAAACGTAGAGATAAATTAAAACAAAGGTTAAAATTACAAGATCAAAACGGATAGTAAAAAAGTAATTAAAAATGTTTGGGTTGTGCTATATTTTATTACTTTCCTGTCTGTATACAGAAGAAAGTATAGGAATCATAATTTTTTTTCAACCTCGAGTTTTCGACAGATTGTTATGTTTTGTGGTTCCCTGAAACCGTTTTGACTATTTTCGCGATGCGGTCTGTGTGTGTCTGTATCCACGATTACTCAAAAACGGTTAAAGAGAAAAACTAAATTTTAAACATCCTCTAACGAGTTGATTAGATTTTGAGCATCTGGTAGGGTACTTTATAACGAGTCGTTTTTATACTTTAAGGAATATCTCTGTTATTTACGATTGGAGAAAAATTCTTCAAATAAAAGTAGTTTGCGATAATTTTTGTTCTATACATGATTTCTCTAAAATAAACCATAATGAAAAAATTTAGAGGCTCAGTACTTTCGTTGACAATGAATATATGTAAAAAAATGTTTTGAGTAAGATGTGTGTGGAAAATGTATGTATTTAGTTCATCTTCTAAACATTTACAGGGTAAAAAATCTTTAGGCAAGACAAGAAAGTCATGTGCTTTATGAAAATTGGCCTTTTTTATTAATGTTTTTGTAAAGGTTACAAAAAATAGCGAAATTTTAGCATTTTCCCTAAGTGGTACATATACGTACCACAAATAATGATGATCAACGATTAAAAAAAAAACTATACCCATGATTTTGAAATTTTGATTTTCATTATTGCTTATCATATCCCAGAGTCCAGCCCATGTAAAGGGTTATACTCTAAAACAAATATTGAAATTTCACTTAGCAATAGCGACGATCCCATTCTCATCTTCTAAGTTATAGTCTATTTGAAGAACAAGAAGGAATGCATTCTCAGAAATATAATAAAATTTTATAAGTAAATCGTACATGCAGTAAAACTAATCTATTTCAAGTTAAAACTACTTTTTCTGGACTGTCACATTATTTACGTATCTTCTACTCCTATAATAATGGATTTAAGCCGTTTAAGTATAATTTCCCTCGACCATAGACGTAATAACTATATTTATAAAAATTAATAATTTTTGTTCAATGAAATTTTAATGAAGTAGGCCCATGTTCATTGATAGTTTGTAGAAAAACAGGTAGATAATTTTTGTCACTTAATGAAAAGACGGTTGTTGTAAATGTTTTTAACTATTTTAGACAATAACATTCCTTAAGTAGCGTTGACAGTGCAGTGGAAATTTCATCTAAAGATATTGTGCAAAATTTACTATTTATAATTTTAAATAAGGAAAAACCAAAATCAAAGTTAAATAAAAGTGAATGTGGATGAATTTTTTAAAACATTTTTCTTCACAAATAGCAACTTTAGATAAAGTTTTACAATCCGTTACCGATGATGCTGAGTTAACTACAATAAGCTGAGATAAATTGTGTAAAGTATTACATGAATTAAAACTTTCTAAAAACAAATCTGATATGTTTAACATATGACTTTTCTGACTAGTTATTACAGGCTTTTTCCGATTATTTCATACAACCTATTGTATCATCTCTGTAAATGTTTAGAGTAAGAACTAAATACAAAATTTTCCACACACACCTTACTCGAAATTTTTTTTTCGAAATATATATTCAATGCCTACGAAAATTCAGAAAATTTAAAATTTTACACTTTTCCTCAAATTATTCCATTACGGTCCGTTTTGAAAAAATCATGTATCAGTGCTCCGCAACCGGTGTGCCGCGGCACACTGGTGTGCCGTAAGCCGACTTGAGGTGTGCCGCTCTTGCAGACAATACGAATCAGATTCGTATTGTAGCGAGACCCGCGAAAAATAAAGCAATCTGACAACAGCGCCGATGGTAAACGTCTATCCGTCTATCGGCGCGGCGCGGCGGCTTGATTCTCGAAGGCGACTAAACTAGAAAGATCCGTGCCGTTCGAGGCGCGACTCGATGTTTTCCTGAACATCGCCACTGCCTATATAAGCGCGCCTGTCGTCGCTCAGAGACTCAGAGAGAGTCGAATAGTCAAGTGAATCAGATAAATACGCGGGCAAACAAATAAATCGTAGAGTGAAATAAATAGTGAATTGCTATATAAATAAATTCTTGTGCCTTATAAATAAGTGAACTGGACTAAGTTTTGTTGCAGTATCTACTTTTATAAATAACTATAGTGCTTCAAATATGGATAAATTTTTGCTGAAATCACGAGCAGATGACGAAGAACCTAGCACAAGCTCCAGCATAAGTGCTGCAAAAAGAGCAAAAAAGGTGCTGAAAAGGAAGTACAATCAAGACTACCTTCGATATGGTTTCACTTGGTGTGGCGACGAAGCGGCTCCAAAGCCTGAATGCGTCATTTGCGGTGAACAGTTGTCAAATGAAGCAATGGTACCCAGCAAACTAAACCGTCATTTGATCACAAATCATCCCAGTTGCGTCAAAAAAGACATTCAATTTTTCCAACGGCGCTTGGATCAAAATAAGAAACAAAAGCAGTTTATGAAATCGGCGGTTACGGTTTCTGAAAAGGCATTAGAAGCAAGCTACCTTGTTGCAAAATTAATTGCACAACAAAAAAAAACCGCACACTATCGGTGAAACGCTTATTAAACCAGCATGCATGGAAATTGTTAGACTTATGCTTGGGCCAAACGAAGTTAAGGACGTGAGTAAAGTTTCTTTGTCGGCCGATACTGTTAAAAGACGTATCCAAGATATGTCAAGTGATATTTTGGGAACACTAATTAAAAAAATCATTTCGGCTGGAATTTTTGCGCTTCAAATCGACGAATCAACCGATATTAAAAATAAAGCACAACTGATGGCTATTGTACGTTTCGTTGACGAGGACTCTATTAAAGAACATTATTTATTTTGTAAGGAGGTTCCAGAGAGAACTACCGGTGAACAAATTTTCCAAGTAACTGATAATTTTTTTAAAATACATAATATTCAGTGGACCAATTGCGTTGCTATTTGTACAGATGGTGCTGCTGCAATGATGGGCAGTAAGAAAGGTTTTGTATCTTGTGTAAAACAAAAAAATCCGTCAATACAAATTACACATTGCTGCATACATCGAGAAGCATTGATGGTCAAAAATTTGCCCGAACAGCTTTCGATCACAATGAATGAATGTATTAAGATCATAAACATAATTAAATCGAGAGCCTTAAATTCGCGAATCTTTGGAATACTCTGTGAAGAAATGGGAAGCGAACATGAATCCTTACTGTTTTATACAGAAGTTCGTTGGTTATCCCGGGGAAAAGTTTTAGCTCGACTGTTTGAACTTCGCTACGAAGTGCGTGAGTTTCTTTCAAGTCAAGATATGTACGATCTATGCCAGCACCTTCATGATGAATACTGGATAGCCAAACTTGCATACATGGCGGATATATTCGAACATCTGAATGAACTTAATAAAAAAATGCAAGGACGGAATGAAAATATATTGACGTGCTCCGATAAATTACAAGGGTTCAAAAAGAAACTTGAACTTTGGCAGGAACAGTTGCAAAAAGGATGTCTAGAAATGTATCACAGGACCAACCACAGTACGATCGAAAACAAGCAGTTGATTGTGGATTTGGCCCAACAACATTTAAGTATGCTTCAACAAAAATTTGAATACTATTTCCATTCTATCAACACGGAACAATACAATTGAATTCGAAATCCTTTCGCAACCAATGCAATAAGTTCCACGGAAGCACTGCCATTGCAAACTCGAGAGGAGTTCACAGAATTAAGTAATGATATGACCCTAAAACTTAAATTCGACGAAGTTCCGTTAGATGTTTTCTGGATTTCCATCAAGACAGAATATCCACGCATCACCGACAAGGCCATCTTCACACTACTTCCGTTTTCCACAACATATTTATGTGAGCAAAGTTTTTCAACGCTTGTATTAATTAAAAATGATAAACGGTCATGCTTAAAAGATCTTGACCAAGAAATGAGAGTTGCGCTGTCTAAAATTGAGCCGAATATAAAACTTTTGTGTTCAACGAAGCAAGCGCAGGTATCACATTAATCAGTCATCATCATGTCAAAATATTTATTACTATTGACGTGTCAACAGAAGTAAATTTAGTATACCTACCTGTCCTACCTAGTATTTAGTATAGTTCTCATGTATGTACCTATTTGTATTTTTCATTCTATCTGAATAATAAAAAAAAATAAAAAAAAATATGTATTATGTCCTGAGTGAAAATTTTGATGCCCCAAATCTGAAAGGGGCTTCTTCACATTTTAAAACAATAAAAAAAACTAAGGTAGTTTGGACATCCATAAATAATTAGTATACATGGAGTGAACTGACCCCCGACCTAGCTACGCCACTGCTATAAATATATTTTAGATTTTGGTGTGCCACGAAATTCTAGGGAGCAGTTTGGTGTGCCTCAGATGAGGAAAGGTTGCGGAGCACTGATGTATAGAACAAAAATTATAGAGAATGATATTACATACAACTTTTAATTGAAGAATTTTCTTCTCCATTCGTAAATAACAGATATTCTTTAAATTAAAAAAGCGACACCCTATAAAGTACCACCCTAGATGCTTCGACTATGCCCAAATTTTAATCAGCTCACTACAGGATGGATCAAAGATTAAGTTTAAAAAAAAATTTTTTTCTACTTATCCGTTTTTGAGTTTTCTTCAAAATTCGCCATTTACTTTTCCTTCAATATCCATTTAAGGGAAATCATGTAAAGAACAAAAATTATAGACAATGACATCACAAGCAACTGTTATTTACATTTCTTAAAATTTCGAATTTTGCACCTTTTGTCAAATTTCTCAAATATGGGTCATTTTAGGTAAATTATATATAGAAGAAAAAAAAATAGAGAATAACATTACAAGCAAATATTATTTGAAGAATTTTCTTTTCCAAGCGTAAATAGCAGATATATTCCATAAAGTACCCCCCAGATGTTCTGACTATGCCAAAAAATCTAATCAACTCACCTCATGATGGATTAAAGCCTAAGTTTAAAATTTGGTGTTTTTCTCTGTATAAATTCAAACGTTAAAATCCGTCGAAAACTAAAGGTGGAAAAAATCATGATTCCTATTACTTTCCTTATCTGTACACATACAGGAATGTAAAAATTGGCAGTCAGTGCTTGTTGACTCCAAAAAATTGTGTATTGGAGAAGAGACTACCACACAAGAATAAAACAAATTAGGACATACAAGATTAATCTTGCGACAATGAAATTTATAAACTCCACTATGTCGTTTTGGTGTTATATTTTGTTATGGAAATGTCACTTTAAAATGTTTCAGAGTGGCATGGATCTTAATCTGATTTCCTACCAATGTCACAGAACTTAAGTTTGTATGACACTGGCAGGTTTTCTGGCCGTTGTTTCATCCACGAAGAGAAAAAAAGGATGAAAGAAAAACGAATGGTTGCCAGGAAGAAACAGAAAAAAAATCATAATTTTTCCGATTTTTTAACTACTGTTAACAATTTTATATTGTATGTTTTTGTTGTTTCTTTTACAAATAAAAAATGAACTAGGAGTATCTTTATTTATGGAGAGAACTAAATGCACACTCCCTTTAAAAGTCAAAAAATAATTGTGAATAAGTTTGATGTAAGGTGAAAAGAAATACTTGGAGAAAGCCTGACGCCGCCGAGATTCGAACCCAGACATCATTGTTCTGTACACAAATGCCCTTACCGCTAGACCATGACGACACTGTCTGTCGAGATTCCTAGACAGCAATTTGATGCTCTAGTTTGGGTTAGACGCCGCTTTCAGGCTCGTTCTCAAATCTTCAAATACCTCTATACAGCATCGGTATGTATGAAAAATGCATTGATGCATACTAAGCCTATATCTTTGTCTGAGTGAGATACGTTTTCAATGTATGTTGAGCGACATAAACCTGAGAATGAAAATTGTGAATTTATTATGTCGTAGATCGCAAATCGAAAGGTCAGAATTAACTGAAACAAGTTATAAAATAATTCTGAACACTCGGAAACAAATCTTAAAACTCTCCCTACGAATTATTAAGACCATCAACGAACCCCAAAGGTGAAAACAAATACTTGGAGATTTCAAAAAAAGCCTGTCACTACCGGGATTCGAACCCAGACAACTTTGTTCTGTACACAAATGCTCTTACCGCTAGACCATGAAGATATTGACTGTCGAGTGAACGAATCTTACCTGTAAGGTCTTTCGCCTGTATGCGACCTCCGGTGACACCTCAACGCGTCTCTCCTGGCGAACGCCTTCCCGCACATCTCGCACACGAAGGATTTCTCGCCGGTGTGCATGGTGGAGTGGATCTTGAGATCGACCCTGGTAAGAAAACCTTTACCGCACACCTCGCACATGAACGGCTTCTCGCCCGTATGGATGCGCTGGTGCGTTTGCAAATAACTCTTCGATACGAACATTTTGTCGCACACGTCGCACGAATGTTTGCGATTATCGAGACCCGAATGGATTCTCTTGTGCGCCCTGCAAAGACCTGAAACAAATATAAAAATAATAATAATAATATTAATCGTCTTTATTTTTAAAATACAAGTAATTAATTTAAATTCATGAAAATAAAAGGCGAAGTTCATTTTTCCTATTAAAGAGTTCAGTAAGAAAAAATGTTAGTGTCTTTAATATATTTAAGTTATATTACAAAAAAAAAAAAACAGAAAAAAGAAAAAGAAAACATATGATAAGCATTATTAGTGAAAAAATAAAAATATTTTGTGAGAATTTTGTATAATAAAGGTCAACTACATTGTTTATTAAATAATAGAACATTCAGTTTAGATTTAAACGTGGTAATACAAATATTTTTTAAATTTCTAGGAACAGAGTTACATAACTTAAATATTTGATATTTAAATGATCGTCTAAAAAATTATGTTCTAAACAGTGGTGGAAGTCGATATACTTTATAAACGTAAACTTAGGTTATGTACATCTATTCTAAAAGTGATCTTCTTATATAGATATATTGGAGTTTTATACAGAATAAGTTTGTGATAGAGAGTAGAAGCATATTCCATGTTCAACCACCCCACTTTCTTAGCCTTCTACAAAATTGCACTCATTAATCATTAATAATTAAATCATTAATCATTAAATCATTAATCAATCATTTATCATTATTAAATATTATTTTTATTTAATTAATTATTTTCAATGACTCTCTGACTTGGCTCGCTGACACGTTGGAATATCAGTCAAATAAAAATAAAAAATTCTAGATTTCACATGGTCCGGGTGAAGAGTTGAACCGTAGACTATTTGTGCTAACGAGCCGACGAATAAATGTAAATATTTCTGTCTCGCCTGAAAAGCCTACCTCTGTGTATAAGATTAAGGGCCAGTCTTTTCACCTATAAGTAAAGCTGAAAGTATCTACTTGCTGATTAAACTATAGGGCTATTATTTGTTAATCTGTCAAGTAAACCTACATGTAACTTTACTCAAAAGTGAAAAGATCGGCCCTAAATCTTTAAAAAATATGCTTTCTATAGAAATCTTGAACTAACTCCCAATTCAAATATCTGGCAACACCCCTAAACGCTAATTGACGCCATAAGATCGATAGAATAGACATAAAATTGAATATTAGTGACGCTACAATGTATATCAATTGAAATGACGCCCGAGTGTAAATAAAATAAATGTGAAGATTTGTTTTCCTTTTCGTTTAATGTTATCCTCATAAGATAAGCTCGTTTTTCCAACAGTAACGAGTATCCTTGATCTAGCTGCATTAGACATAACCAAAATTGGACGATTTAATGCGCATCTTTATCCGGACGCTTCAATGATTCAAAAATGTATATAAATATATAGTTAAATACATTAAAATAGTATTTTGGTTAATCAGTTGTGAATACTGATCCTTTAAAATATACAATTTAATAATGTTATAATCAATTTACTAAAATATTAATCATCTCCGCCAAAGAACATCACCGCTCATGATCACAAAATATAAATGACGTTTGAAATAATTTTATTTATAAAAAAATCCCGACACATCAATTTTAGTTGATAAAATGACATCCTGTAACGTGAAAATTTCACCCCCACCTTCAACCCTTTCCGAGTGATAGTAAGAACCCCCACATTTGTAAATAGGGGAAGTAGGGGCGTGTAATACCTCATTTAAAAGGCATTTTAATTCTCTATTCAAAAATGCTGTGGTTTTCAAATTTATTGCGAAAATTAACAGTAAAAAATAAATTAATTACTAATGTGAAATAAAACAAAAACTTAAATCTTAATGTAGAAGAAAATACACGCCTCAAACGTCCTGGCAGCATCCAAGTTAATCAACATCTGAGGCATGACCAAAGTAATCACCAAACGTTATCCTTCTTAAATAAAATAAATCGCGTGGTTTAGTTTTGTATAGCATATTTTTCATATATCCCATAAGAAAAAGTCTAATAGCGTAAGATCAGGTGATCGTGCCGGCCATTATATCGACCCTCGTCTCCCTACCCACGAATTTCGAAATATTTGATCGAGGACTTGTTTTTGTAATGTTTTGGTGCAGGATTTGGCGTTTACACACTGATATGAAGATTTTTAAAAATTGTTATCGCTTCATATTAATAATAGTAATAATTTATTCGAGATTAAAAAAAAATACATTTATATTTGTTACCTTATAATATAAAATTATTGTTAGTCTTGTCACATTCTTAGCTGCATCAGTGGCGGCTCGTGGGTTTGAATGTAGGTGACGCGTTGAAAATAAAACAAAAAAATTCGACTTTTTTTTATTTTTTGTACATAAGGTCGATTTTCCTATCCTTCAAACTTGCAAAATTATCTATTATATCATCAAAAAATGGCTCTGATAGTGTCTTTTCAATTGAAATTTTTGCTAAATAGGTAAGTCGATCTTCTGTTATTGTATTTCGTAGCTATGTTTTAATTCGTTTTAAACAAGAAAAACTATGTTCGACTTAAACACTAGTGGATGGAATAGTTAAGATTAAGCAATATACCTTATAAGCTTCTTTGAAAATATCACGATTCTCAAATAGTTTTTCCAACAATTTATCGATGTCAATATTTATAAACTATAACTCATTTTTTAACCTTTGTAAGTCATTTAATTTACTAGGATACATTTGAACTAAATTATTTAGTGCTTCTGTAGGAAAGCTCTCCGAATATACAGAAAATTTTTGGAAGTGTCCATTAATGTTACGAACTGAAGCTTATCAGTATCCTGAAAGCGAGTGTTGAATTTGTAATAATTGGCATTATTATTATTTGAAAAATATAAAGAATTTACCAAAAATTCTAAATAAGTAAGTAAGTAAGTAAGTAAGTAAGTAAGTAAGTAAGTAAGTAAGTAAGTAAGTAAGTAAGTAAGTAAGTAAGTAAGTAAGTAAGTAAGTAAGTAAGTAAGTAAGTAAGTAAGTAAGTAAGTAAGTAAGTAAGTAAAGTAAGTAAGTAAGTAAGTAAGTAAGTAAGTAAGTAAGTAAGTAAGTAAGTAAGTAAGTAAGTAAGTAAGTAAGTAAGTAAGTAAGTAAGTAAGTAAGTAAGTAAGTAAGTAAGTAAGTAAGTAAGTAAGTAAGTAAGTAAGTAAGTAAATTCTTTATTTAGCTTTCAGCTAGTTATAAACAAATATTTACAATTTAAACTTAAAACTATAGATAATTACTAATCATATTTTTAAAACTACCAAGAGTTGGGGCATCTTTTATATTTTTAGGCAACGCATTAAAAAGACGAATCCCTTCCTGCAATAATGAGCCCATCAAAAAAGATTTTTTTGTGAAATCAATATTAAAATTGTCCATTGATCTGAGTGGACGTAAATGAAGTTCAGATCTTTTTACAAGTAGTGTGCTAAGGTATTTCGGAGTTTTGTGATGTATCATCTTATATATTAGTATTAAATTCGACATTTTAATGCTTTGCTCAACTGTATAGACATTCAGCTGTTCATGCATTTCCCTGACCGAAGTGTAAATATTACAATTCAATATTATTCTTAAACATTTATTTTGTAACAGTTACAATCTGTTGATGTTTTCTTTAGTAGCTGATAATAGTAATTCATTACAATAATTAAAATGTGGGCGTATTATTGTATTATAAATCAGAGATTTTGACCATTGCGACAAGTTACATGAAATCCTTCTAAAAAAACCAATTTTTTTACCTAATTTTTTACATAAGTAATTAGCATGATTATTAAAAGTTAATTGTTGGTCAATAATGACTCCTAAATATTTTATTTCCAGTACTTGTTCAATTGGTTCACCACCTATTTCTACTACTTGATCATGCGCATTAAGTTGTCTGCATTGTGCTTTTGCATTGTGATATTTTGTTTTTGCAGTATTTAATTTAAGCTTATTTACACACAGCCAGTCATACAAAATAGACAATTTGAATTATTTCCTGAAAATCTCTACCAGATACTGAAATGAGCGTGTCGTCCTCGAAAAGGCTTACATAAATAATAAATAAAATTGGACCCAACACACTTCCTTGCGGTATCCCGTAGTGGTTTTCTGTTTCACTAGATATATTATTTCCTATTTTAGTCTTATGATACCTATTAGACAAATACTCCCTAATTAAATTTAATGCTACCGAATTTACACCGTAATTTTGCAACTTTTTAATAAAACATTTCTATTTATTGTTTCAAACGCCCTTTTAAGGTCAATAAAAACACTAACAATAATATTATTTTCATTCATATCATTTCTGCATTTCGCACAAACAAATTGGAGAGCTGTTTCACAAGAATGTTGGTCTCTAAACCCTGACTATCCCTCATACAAAATATTATTGTCTTCAAAATAAGACTTGAGCTGATCTCTTACTACAATTTCAATGATCTTATCTGCAGATGGTAATAAATTTATAGGCCTACAATCTTCTGGTCTTGTTGGACATGATATTTTGGCTATTGGCACAACTACACTAACTTTTAAATCACTGGGGAACGTACCCTTTACAAGGACCGTATTTACCAGATTAAGAAGAGGGTACCCGATAACACAAAATAACCCCTTCAATAGTGCAATACTTAAACATGCGTCACCTGAACTTTTATTTTTAAGATTGTTCACTATTTTTGTTAATTGATTAAAACTTATTTTTTTAAAAGCACCAAACTCACTGTTTTAAATTAAAAAAATTAAAAAGTCTTCCTTAAAAAGGAAGACACGTATAAAAATAAAACAAACAATCAGGTTATTAATCTAGTCAATGGCTACATTGAGCGTGATATTTTTAAAAATACAACCATCACGTAAATTTTGGTTTATATAGAGAGGAGACAGAAAGAAAGCGCTCTCGAGTAAACACTCTCAATCGAGTGCGGACTCTCAGTCGAGTTCGGACTAAGGTCCAGAACTTTCGCCCAAGGGGCGAAAGCACTCGTTTTTTTGGGACTCTAAGTCCCAAAACAATGTAATGTGTAGAGTAAAGTTTTGTGTACGATTTGTAAATAATGGGTAAATATTTTTAACT